TAAACAAAGTAATAAAAAAAAAACGGCGAAACATAAATTATATTACTCTTCTTTTTTTTTTTTTTTTTTAATATATATTTATTTATTTATATTTATTTATTTTATTATTATAATGAACTTAAAAAATTAATTTACGCAATATAAAAAAAAAATAACAAGTATTTCTCCACATATGGTAAGAATCGAAATGTCACCTTTTTTTTTTTTGTTTAGATCACAACTAACATATATAGTAAATGGCTTGATTAATGAATTATCATCAAAATATAATATATTGGTAATCAAATGAGTAACAATAATATAACGATTGCTATTCAAAACAGGACCTATTGTTGAAAGTTGTAGTGCTAAATTAAAAGATAAATGGGAAACAACAAGAACCGATAAGAATCGGGGCATTCCTTTTTTTAGGAATAAATATAATTTAAAAAAGTGGCAAATGTGGCAAATAAATGGACCCTTGAATTTTTTTTTTTGAAAACAAACAAAAATGTAAATCAAAAAATTAACATACCCTTTTCTGGACTCGTGCATTAAATATCAGAAAGCCAATTTCTTACACCCAGTTCCCATTGTACTTGAAACAATATTCGGTAAAATCAATTCATATCAAAATACCAGTGTTACCAGTGAAAAATACAAGATGCCAGAACCGGGAACTTTTTCTCACACAATAAATGCGCATTGTGTCCCGTGGTACAAACGAATTATGGGTCGTGAAACGTTATTTTATGCAGTTTTTATGATCCAAAAATATACCCACTTTGCCGTTAACGCTTTTTGGGGAATCGATAAAATAAAAAAGGCTATCGAATTATGTGATCGAAATTATAATTTGTAGACTAAATCGTGTTAACCCGAGAATTCGATTTATAACCGAACGAGATCAAACCAGGTTTATTGAAATTCCTGAACCGTTTGTATAGTTGATTATGTAATGCTGCAATTAATATTTCGTGGATATGTTCGTGCTACAAAATGGCTAATAAGTATAAAAGTGAACGACCTCTAAAAAAAGTGCATTCCATTAAATGACAAAGGGACAAAATAAAGATTTACACAGTCTAATACATATTTATGTTAATACAATTCAATAAGTGTGACATCTTTTGACAGACTTCAAATTGATCGCGACATCGACCTATCGGGTTTTCATGCATGGTAAACACAACGACAAACTAACCCCTTATCGTGGATATTCCTTAAAAGGGGTTTATTTTAATTTCGATCGAATACACAGTCGCTCATAGGAATGTCCTGACATATCCCGTCATTTTCTCGTTAAAGTAAAAATTAATTGGAGACTGTCAAAAGATATCGCTTCCACGAGTAAAATTATGTTTCAAATTTCACTCCCCGTAAACATAACTGTTGCCAATTATCCCGCAGCAATTCGTAGGAATTGGAGGAAAAACGCGAAAAGTCATCATAAAGTTAAAAGCGAAGATGAATAGTTTAATTTCTAGGCTAGGTTTACTAAAATACTTGTAGGCTTAATTGTTCAAATGTAAAACACACAATAAATGCGTTAATTTGGCCGTAAGTCACACCTTTGAGTTCGATCTATTATAAGAATTCTATTTTAGTTCAAGGGTACAAAAATGATTTGGTAAGCAATATCCTTCAAGCCATTTTACTGGTTTTGTTGAATCAACATAAAATAATAACATGTTTAACATATATGTATATTCACAAGCTAATTAAAAAAGTGGCTTGCATTTCATCCTTAGATCGTCAAAACTTGTTTATTTTATCAGATAGTTTCACTGCGCCATGACCATAAAATTATGAATTCGAAAAATAAAGTTCAGGTCAATTTACTTAAAAAGAACTCGTTTTCAACATCATGAGACATTTTATCCACAAGAGGTCAAGATTCGTTATATATATATATATGTTTTTTTTTGACAATACATTACGAACATATTGATCATCGAATTTTTAAATTTACTTTAAGTACAAAACTTAAAATCTTTGATAAAAACGTGTCAACAATATGTATATATGCGAATTATTTTATAGGCTATTACCTCATACATATGTTATCCACATTTACAGATAAAAACAGGTCACGTATCCCGTTTTTAGCGTTTAGGTTAATTAATTGCTAATGACATTAGATGCTAATTGTCGATTAAAATATGTTGTACTTACACTATTGATACCAATAAAAAATATATATATATATATTTATTTATTTTACGGGAAATCAAATGATGCCATTTTTCCTTCTTTCCATAATTAATTGATATCTTTGTTAGGTAAAAGATATTGCTTCATGAAGGTGGGACTTTCAATAATCCATCATGGTCGATGGATGATGACTCCAACTCTCAATGATCTGCACTTCAGCCGAATTTACGAAATTAGGCAAAGTGCGGTGAAACCTTACACGGATTATCCTTAAATTCATGCGCTGCGCCGCAGTGTCAATTATGATATGTAAAAACGTATGTTGGCGTTTATCACATTCCAACTTTATATTTAGTTTCGCTTACGTAAAAAAAATTTATAAGAATTTTTTAGATTTATTAATAACAATGAAAAAAAATTTTTTGAACCAAATCTTTTTTAAAAACAATGAGAAATACAAAGGATCATTATTCTACCCCGCAAAATCATATGAGATTCTTAACGAGAAAAGGCTCAAAGTAAGCTTTGACCAAAATCGCATCTATATGAGAAACTAAGAGTGATGCAAGCCATTTAAATTTTACTGCGCCACAGTATTAAACTGCCACACTTGCCATACGGTATTGTTTTCAATTCAATTGTCAAGAACTCGGAGACTACTATGATTGTTCCTTTTCAGAATTTTTCAGAAAAAAAAAATATATTTTTGGCATATTTAGTTGAAGGATTAGAAATAAAACTACATATGGACATGGTCGGACGGGCATCGAATGACTGCAATATTTTTTCATTTGTTGAGAGCTTTCTTTCCAACAGGAATTAATATATACAAGCAAAGATAAGCTTGAGTAGACAATGTAAAGGAATATGCATATACATTACATCTATATCTTCTTAAATGTCCATGCAATGCAATACATGCAAACTACTTCTTAAGCCTAGAATCCAATAGTAGGCTACATCCATTATACCAATCATGAGAATCAAAAAAAAAAAAAAAAAAATTATTAATCAAAACTCGTTCTCTCGTATTTGTTAGTTTCCTTGCATCTGATTTTTATCCTGGTCATTTACAGATTAATCGACTTTATCATATGATACTTAAAGATTAAACTTTTAGTTTGAACCCAGAATCAACGTAAAAGCAAAGATTTTTTTTTTTCTCATGGTATGCATCATTTTTAATGATTTCGAAATAGGAAAACAAATGAAATACACTCTCTTTCTGTCAAGAAAATTTCATGATGAATGGCCGTATACTCTGCAACAAGATATGACTGGCTTATAAATATTGTTGCCGTTGCGAAACAATGCAATGAATTATTGTATTTGGGTAAATATAAAGATCAGATTTAATCAATATGGCATGATTTGCTTCCTTTGAAGAGTTGCCTTACTTTTTGTTATAATACATTCATGAATGATCAGGATCAATTCATTTGTGTGAATAAATTAACACTTATGGCCAGATGGCTTTCTTATTTCCCCTTCATTTTAAGTTCCCATAACCATCCTCATCTACTTATCTGGAGCAGATGGTCTGGTGCAAAATTATCCGTATTACACACACATCATTTCCACATTCAAATAGGTACGATGCTTAACTAATCTTGCGCATGATGTTGCAGAATGGTGGTTTAACTTGCATTGACTTGCGCGATTAACATATCCCGAGTTTTGATTTTTAATCGAACCATTTTGAGATAACAATATATTGATGTACCAAAAGTTGTAAGTTTTGATGTATACGTTTCTTAATGTAGATTTCATTTGTTAATTTATACATTGCTTGGTGATTCCTCTGACATTCTTTCCATTTTTATCTCCTGCAATTAAGAAAAATTGGAAAATGTCAATCTTGTCTACCAAAAACAAAATTGTCCGAAAGGCAAATTATACCTTGCAAATCGCGTTTAATCCCAACAATCCTTTTTTTTTTTTTTTAAAAAAAAAAAAAAACAAACGTGCATAGAATTAATATATTCTTTTTTCGGCAGTATCAATCTTATTTAATTACTCGATTGGGAATTAACTGCCATACCCGATCTTTCATCTATCTATTAAAAGAAAGAAATAAATCTAACCCGGGGAATGAAAGAAGTGGGGAATGCAATGTTAACTTTTTAAATACAAATTTTGAAAGTAACGACAAATTTCAAGTTAAACTTTACTTAGCTTAGCATGATTATAGTATTAACCTATTTTTAGAATTTATTTATTTATTTATAAATAAAGGGAATGCAATGCAATCTTTGTTTGGCATTATTTACTTCCCTTTCAAACAAAATTATAATTATTAATTATTAATTATTTATGCATAATTTTAATTAATGTATGTATTTGATGATTTATGGTAAGCCTTTTATTATTTTATTTTTCCAAATAAAAAAAAAAAATATATTTTGAATCAGAATCGATTACTTTGATTTTGTTCTCCACGTATGTGTTAACCCAATTAAGACAATATCACTCGAGACCTTGCATATCGTGAACTTTTTGCTCTTTTTGTAGGTAATCTCATATAAAACTTTTTCCCTATTATTTATTCCCTATTATTAAAATAATATTTCCCATCATTGTCTAAATGATATTATTCCGAAATGTTTAATCATTCCCATCTGTGCTGTGTAATTTCCATATTATCAAAAATCCTTAATTTTTTTTATCAAAAGAAGTTACCAACTCCCTATTTTACGTATGCATTAACTCAATATCATATGATAATTAATAAACATTATTTATTAGTTGCAAATAAATTTACTTATTTGAGGAAATGTGTCACTCTTAAATTCTCGTGTTAGGATACCCAAATTAAATTTAAATCTAGGTTTACCAAATTCGCGAATAATTATACAAACGCCTAAAGAATGTTCTTGATTCAACATCGGTTCAATGCTAGATCAATTGAAAATGACGTTTTATTCATGATAATCATAAAAATTATTCTTACGCGCATAGGAAATCGGTTGTTTGAATCGGTCGAATTTTTAAGTAGTGGGTAAGTTGCAATTATTAATTAACTTGTAATAGAATATTTCTTTAACTTGTGATAGATTTGATTTTACTCCTCCTAACTCTAATCTTTATGGTGCGATTTGAAAATTCATTATTTAGACGTGTTATCCGTCAAACTTCCTGGATTAAATTAAGAACGAACTAGTTAAATGCCTACTTTCACCTTGGAATCGCTCTATGATTAGTTTCGCCCGAAACAATAGAGCGAATCCATTTCACCGATTAAAAGGAAATTAGTGCCTTTCATTCTACTCAAAAGCTTTGATATGATTCATTACACAATAATTACCTGATTATTGTTATTGTCGTTTAATTAGTTCCATCTATTCAGTGTAATTTAGTAAATTTTTTTTTAAAAAAAAAATACCTATTTTGCCTTTAGATATTTATTTCAATAACTATTTGTTATTTCATATATTTTTACTTTATATTTAATAATATAGAAGATTAAGACTAATTTTTACCCGGGTGATCAGTTCACCTACCCATAGAATTAGGGTTGGGTTTAGGATTATGGTTTATTTATCACAACGCGATACACTCCTCTGTTTCTTATTTTTAATAATTAATCGAAGAAAAAAATTTTTATCGCTAAAAATTCTATTTATCACCTATTATATGTCACGTAGGTGATTTCACCCAGGGAGCAAGTTAGCAAAAAAGTCTTAATAGGAAATGAAGATAAAAATTTAAATAAACTTGTTTTTTCTATAATAATTATTTTTAATTATTTTCATTTTTTATACTTCTAAAAATATATATTTCTTACATCTATTTAATATCATTCTAACCAATAACTTAAAATTATTATTAGATCTATATTGTGATTATAATTTGAAATAATAGTAATCTATTTTAGCTAATTTTCTAATAATTATTTATAACATATAATAAAAAAAAAAGTAATAGATTAAGATATATCTGTTGATCAATAATCATAATATGAATATTAAGTCTTGATAATCTAATTTTTAATATATATAAAAATGAATATAATATCTATTTTTATTTCAAAAATTTAAATTTAAATTTAGTGGTATATAACTATATTAAAATAAGTAAATAATATTATAATTGTAATATTTACTTATTTTATATTGTTATTTACTTATTTATAATATTATTTATTTATTTTAAATTATTATTTACTTTATATTATTTAGTAATATATCACTTAAGTTAGATTATAGTACCACTATATAATCTGATTATCACTATATAATTCTAATACTATTCTATAATCTGATTACCACACTTATAATCTATTCATTACTTTATAATTTAAATATTATTCTATAATCTAATATCTATAATCTGATCACTACTCTATAATCTAATGTCTATAATCTAATTATCACCCTATAATCTATTTACTTCTTTTATCAATTATCTCTTTTATAATCTATTTTTTCTTTAATCCTTTTCTGATATTCATAATTTTATATTAATATAGTTTTATTTACCACTATATAATCTAATTATCACTTATTTTTTAATCTAATTACTGCTCTTTTTTTTATTTTTAAGTTATTTAGATATCAAGTTTTTTTAATGAAAATATTAACTATTTAAATGCTAAATTTATACTAAAAGTGCTAACTTTTTGTATCAGTTTATTTATCAAGTAAGGTGTGATATAAGAATTACATTTTTTCGCTTATTTAGTTATCTTATTTTTTATTAGAATTATTAAGAAGTTATTATAAGGATTATCTTTTTGTGTTAGTTTAATTGCCTTCTAAAAATATTAAATAAAATCATATCAAGTGATACAGTAAATTTGCAATTGATTTTAGTTAATATTATTCTTTCAAGTATATTATAAGCAAATTTACTTGTAATTTTATTTAATAATTAAAATATTTTAAAAAAACTTATTTGAAAATTAATAAATTTTATAATATTTTCTAAGTAAAATTCAAAAAAAGTAATTAATTAGTGATATTTTAAAGATAAATATATGATAAATTATTTAAAAAAAAAAATTAAAATTTTAAACTTATATATATTACTATCTATTAATCTTAAAAATATAATTATTTAATAAGTTTTAATAAAATAAATCCAATAAACTAAATTTTATTTTTTTATAATTATTAGATAATGTTATTTTAAAAATTTGAAAATTTGAAAAATTAATATATATTAATAATTACTAATTTTAAAAACTATCATTAGTTACATATTAATATGATAAATCTAATAAATTTTATTTTATTTTTAATGATTACTACTAATTATGAAGGACGAAACCCCTTAATAATAGTTGAAACTTAGACAAAATTATATTAAAATCATAATAAGGGATATGACAAAATTCTTTCGATATGATGAAAGTCAAAACTGTTAAAATTATATTAAAAACATAGAAAAGGATATGACAAAATTATTTTGAGGAGGTTTCGGCAGACATTTATAATCACTACATATTAAAATATTATAATTTTTCTAAAATGTTTTATAATTTACACTTTAAGGTAATATTATTATAAACTATTAATAGGATATTAATAGAATATAAATAAATATAGATAGAACAAATAGAATATTTGAGATATAGTATTAAATAAGTTAAGATATATAGTTGGAATAACAAATCTCTAAAACATCAAAAATATACATTACTACTTTAAATAAAGTTGGAAAAATCCTAATAGATCCTAATTAATCCTAAATAATTTTAAAAAATTATTAATTTTAAAAATTAATTTTTTTTTAAATAATATTTTTATAATAATTTTTTAATTAAAATTACTTATTAAAATAAATTGAAATTTTTTCTAAAAAAATATTAGATTAGGACTTAAGTCTTAAGATCATTTTAAAGTAAATAAATTTAAATCTTTTTATTTTAAATTGATAAATAAATTTATTTATTTTAATTATTAAATAAAATTTTTATTAAAATCTAATTAATAATATATAAATAAAAATTTTTTTAATTTTTTAAGACCAATTAAGACCTATTAGGATTTTACTAACTCTAACTTTAAAAGATAGCACAATTCTAGCTAGCTAATCTTTAGAGCACATGATTTTTGAAATCTAATTTAGTTCACTAATTCTAGATCATTTCTATATCAAATTAGATGCTAATTATTATATCTAAAGTTTTGACCAAAATTATAAAATAGTATTAGTCAAAATTAAATAAAAATTTATTATATTAAAAAAATCACATATGTGATGCATTTCTAGAATCTTTCTAGAATATTTATATTAGTGTTAGAAAATTAGATAATTTTGACAATTTTGAACAATTTTGAACAGGTTATAGATAAAATTTTCTATGTTCAAAACCTTGTTCAAAATATTTAAAATTAAAAAATGTATTCAAAATCTAATATTGATTTACAGAGGGTAGACAAAAGTATCCGCATACCCTCCATAACGTGAATTAAAGCTAGTAAAGTCATATGACCATAATAACAAATTGCGTTTACATAACACTTAAGTGTTATTTATATTATAAAAATAAAAAGAATAACAATTTATTTTTTTTTTAATAAATTTTTCTTCTCTGAAAATCTAAAAAAAATGGTAAAAACTAAAGAATTAACTCAATGATTCTCTATATATTACCATTAAGTATTTTTTAAGCTTTTAATATTGATAATTAAAAATACAATATGTATTTTTCAAATTTGGGATAATATATCTGAATACATACTATTAAGATATAAACTTTCAATATTTTAATACAATAATTTTGCAGAAACTTATATACTATATCTGTAATAATAGGATATCTTTCTTTTAAAATTTCATATAATATTTATAAAATTACCTCTCTAAAGAAAATGTATTTATTTGCACTTCTGAAATTAACTTCAGAATCTCTTTTTGATATACTTATATTTTACATAAGGCTATATCATACTTAAAAAGTGAATATTTCCTATAATATTTATATAATAATTCTAGAGAAATTTTACTTTTAAATATACACTATTTATTTTTGATAAAACAAATAATTCTTTTGCAGAGTACGTTATATTATTGTCATACTTTATTGAAATTTATGTATATTTAGATGTTTTCTTTTATGATTTACTTTTTAAGTTCATTATCACTTTTTTTCTATATTTATAGAAAAAAAATATTTATATAATAATTATAGAATTACCTATCCTAAAAGAATATATCTATTTATATTTATAGAACTAATTTTAGTATTTTTTTAGTATACTTCTATCTTATGTAAAGATTATATTATATAGAGTATATATCTAAAAAAGTGAAGTTTTTTACTAATATTTTATATAATAATTATATAGAAGTCTTAACTTTTAAAATATATATCTGAATACTTTTTTTTTATTTGCTTAATAAATTTGCTATCATTTCTTTTTTTATATTTATTGAAAAAATTGTATATTAGAATTTGTGTCAAAGTAGCTTAAAGAATATTATCTAAAGGTAAAATATTCTACTATATTTATATAATATAATTCTGCAGAAGATTTTATGTCATATTAAATATATATTTAAAAGGTATAATTTTCTTTTATAATTTTATATAAAGATTCTAAAAAAGGATACACCATTTTAAATATATTTAAATTATGTTACTTTCTATTATTGTATAATATTTAAGTTATCGTATTATATTCTAGCTATTGTATTACATTTTAATTATTGTACTTTCTTTCAGTTTTATCATGAAATTTATATTACTTTCTGATTATGTTATATTCTACATGATTATATTACCTAACAGTTATATCAGATAATTTGTATTTTATTATATTATTCCAGTTAATTACTCATCTAATATCATATAATTTTTTGGCTAATTATTTTTTTTCATAACCTTCCATTCAATTAGTTATTTTCTAATTTCTTAATATTATAAGTTTTTAATCTTATCTATTTTATTGTAAAGGATCATATGATATATTATTTTAAGATTTTTTAATTTTATAATATGATTTGCTTAGTAGAAGAAGACTTTTAAACTAAGAAATAATAAAAATTAATAAAAAGTTGATAAAATTATCAAGATTCTGAAATTTAACACTTAATAAGTATAAATATATTAGTTCATTTGAATATATTATAATATTATAATATTTAATTATTAATTAATTATTTTATTTTTAATTTTTAAAGTATTTTGATAAATATTCAAGTAGAATTTCTATT